TGTGTGTGTGTGTGTGTGTGTTCTTTTTTTAACCCTATCCCGACAATTCCCCTCACATCTTTTATTTTGCTTGCGGCGTGTTGGGGATATTCTTTGCTGCGCTCTCCTCCTGCTTCTCCTTGCCATCTTACCGTCTCTCAATTCTTTTGAATGTACTGACAACCGTCTTTGTCTCTGTCTTTCTTACTCCATCTTTTAATCCTAACCTCCCTTTTGCCCTTCACAGTCCCAGAGCCACTGGGTCTCCGCCTCAAATTCTTTCTTTCATCCCCCAACTCAATCTCCAGTCTGCCCCTCATCTCCTCTCAGTGTCAAACCAGCAGAGACTTCCCACTTCTTACTGTAGACTTTGCCTTTTTTGTCTCCAGTTTTTTCTCCAGTCTTTGTACCTCCATTGTGTGTTCACACATCAGAGTGTGTGCACATACATATGTTCCATGTGCGCCTTTCTCCGCTCTACAGTTGTGTCTATGGTCCTTCCACTTCCGTGTCTTACATTTCTAATAAATCTTCGTGTTGGACTCAAAGGCAGAAGTTGTTTAATTATAAAAAGGCTGTTTGTTGTTGATCATAAGAAGCATGTGGCTCGAGGCAGGGATCGCAGCGGGCAGCTGAGAGGGGAGTTCGGCCTGGGCTTAGTTTCCTGGTGAGTTGGTCAGGCAGCAGATCAGAGGTCTGGGTCAGACGGATGAGTGGATGAATTCGCAGCAGGCTAGGGGATCATATCTCAGGCTGCTTGTAGTCATGACGAAGATCTGGGCGACACAGGATACACATGAGAAGGTGATGTTGAACCTGGAGTCCAGACAAGCAATAGCTACACACAAGGAAGCATGAACTCAGTAACCGCAAGCTTGGCCATAGTGTGGTCGCAGTGAACGGACGATCTGGTTAAGGGTGGCCGTGGCTCAGGAGGTAAAGAGCAGAACATCCAGATAAATGAGAACGAAGGTGAGCGGTTCCATTTCAGTCTCCCACATTCCTTGTGCTGAAGTGTGCTTGGGCAAGATACTGAATCCAGCAGACTTGTGTTTGAGGATGATGAAGAAAGTGCTGCACAACTTTATTTGTCCTGGAGGGAAATCGGTTTCAAACAAGACATGGACAATTAACCCTTTTCAAGGCAGCCATTTTGACCTGATATAGAAGGTAAACACATGTTTCTTGACATTAAGGTTTCGTACCCAAATACAACAGAACCTTGATCAATGTGATTTGTAAAAACAGTGTTTACAATTTCAGGCCAAAATGGCCGCAGTGGAAAATGGGAATTAAAAAACAAGAACCATGTGGAAAACTGCAGGAAAACAAGAAAGTGAAGGAGAGGCCAAACTTATACACAACACCCTGTCCTCTATCACATGAGATTGCGTGGGTCTCTGGCATTTCGGTTCAAATTAAATCACAATGAGTCGTCCCTATTTTTTTTTCCCTCTCTCTTTCCAACGCTTCATCCACCCCTCCTCCTCAATCTGCCCCGCTTTTCTTCTTTCTTTCTCCACGAGGGAGGGAGACCACAAGACAAGGAAAAATAGGAAAGGGAGAGGGAGGGGAGGAGGCGGCGGCAGTGGTGGAAGGGGGTTCATAGTTTGGGGTCAGAAAACAACTGTGTTTTTTTCCCCCATAAAGGTAGGAGCAGATTTCATGGTGTGTCACACACAGACACCAGCGGCAACCTTCTTTTTTCCAACATGGTCATTGCTGCAACCACCTGACTCTGTCACACAAAAATATACACTCACGTGCACTCTCTCCGTGCACGGGTTGCCCAATTTTCCCTCTCCCTGGTCTCCATCTGCATCGCTCCACCCCACCATGTGCTCTCTGTTGTCCCCTCCGTCCGATTTCCCTCATTCCCAAGCCTGACAGAGGATGAATCACAGCCTGGGAGAGAGAGAGAGAGAGAGAGAGAGAGAGAGAGAGAGAGAGAGAACTGTCCTCTCACTCCATTAGACTGACAGCACCTCAGACTTTTTCTATCTGCTCACTGATCTTATCATTATTCCAATTGGACCAAATACGAATGCACTCTCTCATGTGTGATGCCACAAAGATCTTTGTTCGCGCTGGCTGTCAGAACAACAGACAGACAGAGACGTGAGCACGCAGAGATACATTAACATGCACAAACACAGAAACTCACACACATGCCAAATGCGCCCTGATAGGATGTCAGGACCTTTTGTCCTCTTGCCTTTGTTGCAGGGAGAATAATGATGATGAGGCCTAATACATAATTCCTCTGTGTTACAACAGAAAAGGGTCTGCTTGTCACTCAGAGCTACACAGGCTTAAAGCAGAGTCTTTTCATCCTCGGAGGCACTGTACTGTATAATTGGTGAAACTAAATCCTGAGCCTACATTTACATTTTGACTCATCTGACAGTCTCATTCAGAACCAGGTGTCTGTGCTGCTCGTTTTTCTCAAAGATACAACTCATGACCATTTCTATTGGTGCAGCCACAAGTATTCAGATTCGTCAAATTATGAAAAAAACTGCTTGTTTTCCACCTGTCACTCAAGAGTAATGATACACATGCAAAATGTACAACCTATGCAAGACATGCATAATATTTTATGATTGTATATTAACATATAAAACAAAAAAATACCAACATCATATTTGTAAGTTTTGTTTTTCATTGTCTGAATCCTGCTGCTCTCTTACCTCTTGTCATGTTTGGCCTTGGAAACAGTTTTTGATTAAGTTCAGTTTGAAATGATGATTTTTTTTCTGCCCCCCCCCCCCCATCCTTTATCAGTGAGTTGATAGAAACTGAATTGTCTATGTTATCTTTGAAATTCAGTGTCGACATATCTCTTTGAAACATTGTGAACAGTTTCCTTTAGAAGTGTTTTCCAATTAAGAAATTGTTTCTTGAAAACCATTGTCATTGCACCCTGTGTATTAACCAGTACAATCAGGACAGATGATTTCTGAGGTTTAGCTCTGGCTCAGTCTTGATTAGTTTTTTCAGTTTTGCACTTGATACCAAAGTAGATTTTGGATGTATTCCCCTGACAGTCATGGCCCCCAGAGGATGAATCTTAATTATTTGGTGCACTGCAACAACTTAGTGGATTGCCCCGAAATGTTGTTTAAAAAATATCTCATTCCGAAGCGACCCATCCCAGTGACTTCAGTGAATCCTCATCCAAACCAATTTTGGCACACACACAGATGACCTCACTGGCCGTCAGCCAAAATCGAGAATGAATTTGAAACTAGCATTGCTATATATGGGCCACACTCAGGTTCAGGATCCTGGTATATATTTGGATAGAAGAAACACAAATACTTGGCCAGATACTCATCAGTAAAGAGGAAAAGTAGAATTTTTTTTTTTTTTTTTTCTATTTTATTACAGTTTGAGCTGCATCGCTTGTTTTGTTCTAATTGAAAGGTTCAAGTGGTTTATTTAACTGCTGGTTTCATAATCACTGATAATTAGACAATGGAAAATCTATCATGGAGTACACAGAGGACATGGAGATGACCTACATCACTGCAGTGAAGAACAACTTTTGGATTCAATACCAGTGTGTGCTATATCCGAACAAAGCAAATGCTCTGTTATACAATTCTCACAAAGGATGAAGATGTCAAACAGCTGTGTGAGATCCTAGTTAAGGAGAAAACCCACATGTCTGCTGCACCGGAAATACCTTAAATATTTACCTTGTGACATATAAACCAAGATTCATCCTGTTCATTAAACGTAGCAGGTTTTCTACCACAGTTTACACAGGGGGACTCTTGAGCGCCCTGCTTTGTGTCACATCTCTCTTTTACTATGTTGAGTTTACACAAGCTCATAAAGTTTTTTCTGTCTCTCTCAGTGGGACGAGGTCAGTGTCCTTGATGACCGGGGGAAGCTCATACGGACCTTTGAGGTCTGTAATGTCAACCAAAACCCCCGTCAGCAGGACAACTGGTTGGCTACACCTTTCCTGTACCGCCACTCGGCTCCACGGGTGTTTGTCACATTGCGTTTCTCGGTGCGTGACTGCGGCAGTCTGCGATCACCATCACCCACCTGCAGAGAGACACTCACCCTGTACTTCAAACAGGCCGACTCCCAGAGGGAGCTGGAGAGGACCTGGGCGGCTGAGGTGAGGCAGAAGAACAACATGACCATTATATATTTATTATATACTCATTGTTGTATTTTATATGCAATACACGTTATTTGGAAGAACAAGAACTGATTAGTTCTGATTATTATATAAAGTTTTTTCATTTTCTTTTAGCTATGTAGTCCCACCATTTTTGTTTTAGCTTTTTGAAGTTTGATTTCCAACATTAGATTACGATAAAACATTCCTGATTATTTCTATATATAACTATTCAAATAAATTAACATATCTGACAGGAAGGCTAATAGTTAAAAGTGGAAATATTCATGATCGTGTGCCTGCAGCCTTGATGGTCAAAAGTCCAGCTGCTATGTTTTACATAAGGTTTATATTTACTAAATGTATAAATAAGTCAATTAAAACATGTGGCTGTTTTAGTAGAAGTAATATGAATTATGTGTAACATTTATCTGACCTGACACTTTGGAAACTAGAAATATTTTAATGAAAAGTTCTGACCGAGAACTTGAATTCATAACATTGTGGCAAAACAGGCCCCAATTTGCAATTATGCAAACCACTCTTCCTTCAGACCGGGACACTAAAAACTAAAAACTGCATCTATTATTGAACATGGGGGGGTAAAGCCTTAGACGTCCAAAAGTCCACCAGCCATGTTATAGAGTAACAAGCATTTATTCGATTGATATATCACTAAATTAAAATGTTTAGTAGCTTTTTAACTAAGTTTTACATAAACTGACACAAATCTTTAGATGTTGCACTGAAGTATTTTATATATTTCTTTTATTTTAGACATTTCAGAAACATACAATTTAATTAATTTGTTGGATAGTAAGTGAAATAATCACACAAACAGCAATTACTTAATAACCTTTGTTGTGTGTTTTGTCTGTAACAACGTCTCAGCCTCTAAATCAGACTGATTATAATATATAATGTTCAGCAACTTGTCTCTGATTATGGTTCATACTAATCAAACTAAACTTGATTCAGCAGGGAGCATTTCCTCCATTTCTTTCCAGCTGTTTTTCATCACTGCTGAAAACAAACAACCTTCAGACAGAATCACTAAAAAAATGAAAATTTAATTGCTGTTGCACCAAAACAGCAAAAGCGCTCATCATCCCATGACAAGGAAGTAATTGTGTAATCACCTCGATTATTGTTGCACTTGCCAAGAAAAGCTGCTGAGATTGACGGCCTCCTCAGACCACGCTGGTGTGAAGCACATGCTACGGTTTACAAAATGCAAATAAGCGCCACTGTGGTTTCCAGAAATGTCACTTGAGTCCCGCTAATTACATCTTTAGAACATAAAACAAACAACAGTGGCCATTTTACACTCACTACAGGAAATTCTCTGATGTCAGTGAAGCAGTAAACGTATTTTTCCAGTGACTGACGTGCTGTTGTAAGATGAAATTTTGATATCTGTGTTTAGTTTTGCATGTTTGTGTGTTGCGGTGGGGCTAAACTACCCGAGCTCCATATGCTGTTGCAGTCACAGCGGGGAGGGTGCAGTGTTATTTGTACAGATGAATGCATTTATCCTTAGGGAAGTGAGATGCTTTTTAAATATGCAAATCAAAGCCTGATGAGGAATCAAAGGAGAGTCACAGAAGAGCACAAAGCAATGCAGTGCTGTGAGTCTGTGCAGGGACTGGAGCAGGATCCCCCACTGGGACCTTCAGACGGCATATCTGAGTAAACATTTACCCTCCTCACTTAACTGTCTCATGTGTGCCTGGGAGAGAACACAGCACAAACTCAAGCTGGTCTTTCTTCTCATCCGTTCCCTCCCTATCATAACTACTTTGCTATTCTAATATGCACATTTCCAAAGCGTACTAGTCGACCACACATGCTCTCTGTGCAGTTTTGTTTTCTGTTCACCACTGATCTTTACCTCCACTGACTCTTTCGCTCTGTCCTCGCTGCAGCCGTCCAGCAAAGAGAAGGATACCAGGGAGGGTTGGGTGAAAATCGACACCATTGCAGCAGATAAGAGTTTCTCCAAGGTGGAGCCCAGTTCCCCTCACCAGTACCAACCGAACAGATACAGTCGAATCAACATCAAGACACGGAGCTTTGCCCCTCTCACACGCAACGGGTAACTGCCAACTGAACTACACTTTGTTGCTCATGCTTTATGAATGTCCTCACTGTTCTCATCTTAACGCCTGACACATGTTGCAGATTTGTCCTGGCTATTGTTGACAGTGGAGCTTGTGTTTCCCTCATGGGGGTGTCCATCTTCTACCGGCGTTGTCCAGCCACCAGCCTCTACTTGGCGTCCTACCCGGCGACTCCCTCGGGGGCAGAGCCCACAGCCTTGGTGCCTGTGAGCGGGACTTGTGTCCCCAACAGTAAAGCACAGGGAGGCACGGCCCCTCGCATGCACTGCAATGCTGAGGGAGAATGGATGGTACCTGTAGGAGGGTGTGTCTGTGACGGAGGCTTTGAGCCAAACCTCAATGGATCCGCCTGCTTGGGTGAGTCTGAGTCTCACAGTGCACAGATCAAGTTGACCCCCACAGGGATGAGTCTGACAATCTCTGCAAAAAATATATTTTTTTATGTTAAACACAGCACAACTGCAGTGAATCTGCTTTGTGTTGATGGTTTCAAGAGATCCCCAGTTTCATATTGCTCTTCCATAATGTTAAAGGGATAGTTCATTGAAAAATGAACCACTATGCCAATGGAGGGGTGGGTGAACTGTTCACAAAACATTTTTGGAGGTTCAGGGGTATAAACAGTGTTGCAGCCAAATCAAACACAATTGAAGTAACTGGCGACCACTTCTCCAAACATAAAAAAAAAAAGCCTACTGTTCCTGTGGTGTCATCCAAGTGTCAGTAAGCCCCAACATTAACATTTGACTCGAAACGGCGTTTACACCATGTTTTTAGCCTAAATGTCCGCTAACGGAACTAGCCCTTTCAGGCTAAAAACAAGTTCTCTCCTAAATTCTATCTAAATTCTATCCCTTTAAGGGGCTTTGAGGGAGATGGATGAAAAAACCCCAGGAATGTTTAAAAATTGATCAAAACGGTTTCAGCAGCAGAAGTTTTCCAACTATGGTCAAATCCTTTCTTACATTACTGCTCAGATAGTCACGGTTAATTATTTTATCTCTTTAGCATTAGCTGGGAGAACAGCAACAGCAAATCTCTTATACAACTACATCTGCAGTGTTCTGGTTGATGGTGCATTTAGTGAATAAACTGTCTGTAGTTTTATTTGTGTGCAGGTCATCATAGATTTTTATTTCCATGTTTGAACAGTAGCTAAACTTTCAAATTAAAGTGGGACAGCCCTGATACTTACCATTACCTGATAACTGACTTTGACTAGTGAATTCACCCTTTGAGTGTAAGTGAATCTGTTCAGGAGAATTCACAAGAACCAAGATGTACAAGAATCAGTATTTTATCTGGCCAATCTTGACTTTCTGTCAGTTCTCCTCTTGGCATTTCATGTGATACGCAATGTCTGGATCGATAGTTAAAGGAGCTGCTGTCACTCCGATTCACAACCGTGTGTTACATGTGAGGACAGGGCGGGCAGGTCAGGTCTGGATGGGACGAGAAGCAGAGCTATTGCGTCTCATCCATGTAATGCATCTGTAGTGATGTAGCTTTGCACGGTTTGTCAGCCATCAATATAGAAATATTTTCAGGAAATACAAGGAGATTGTAGCGGAGAGGAGAGGACAGGAGAGGAGAGGAGAGGACAGGAGAGGAGAGGAGAGGAGGGGAATATCAATATAAAAAGGGCACAGCTGAGAGCCAAACAGATACTAAGGTCAGCAATTGCAAACATGGTCAAAAGCGATCGCACCTCTTAAAGTGGGTGTAAGAGGGGGAAAAACATGGGAAAAAATATTTGAAAGATGTCCAGACGGACAGGAAGGGATATATGGAGAGAGCAGGAGGAGGGAAAGAGGAAGAGAGCGAGAGAGCAGTAGTGCGAGGGATGTGACACATTTAGGTCATGGCGATGTAATGGCCACTCGTCTGTGAACAAGTGACAGAAACCGCAGGGGGAGAGGGGGGTGAGTGGAGGGAAATAGGGAGAGATGCAGGGAGAGTGAAAGATAGGAGGATGCAAGTTAATGACTTAAAGAACTGAGCGGGCAAAAAATTCTGATGGTGTGAAGGGAAAAGAGAGGATGAGCACAGGATTTTTTTTGTGCATAAATCTACGAGTATCTCTCTGTGATGCTGATGTTGCGTTTTAATCCGTCCACACACGTCTCAGGGCTGTAAAAGCCAGAATTACAGTACAACTCTGTGGTCCGACAGGAATTTCAATGGACATAATAGCTCAGTTCCCTCACATGGGGGCCCTCAAAGTCTAACTAACTCCAGGACAATTAGTCCTCTAATTCTGCCAACTCATCTGTGAAATGTGTTCATGCTCTTTTGCTTTTACATCTGCACTCGATCTGCACTTTGTGTTTGTCCGCACTTGATTGATATTTTCTGACAAATCACCCCTCGGTTCTGCTCAGCTGCCGCAGCAAAGGCCTGCGCTGACTGTCTATGAATGATCGAACACGTTTCTGCCCACGCTGCTCCGGCTTTTTGTTCTGACCCTCATTTGATTATGTTTTGTTGATCACTCCACTGACTAATGATTTGGATTGGCATCATTACATTGTTGTCCTCCCCGGCTCCCTGGGATTATTTAGAAAGGAGGCAGATGGTTAGCTGGCGATGCAGTCGTCAAGGATTATTAACAGTAGCCGAACTTTCCTTGCTGGTATCAATCGTACATTTTGTTCTTGTTTGAATTAAGCACGAAGGTCATTTGATAAAAGCACAAAGTTTGCAAATAGTGAATATAATGAGTCGGTCAGGGTCTTTAAAACATGCAGTAACTTTCTCCTGCCTTTTTTTTTTTTTTACACAGAATATTTCTTCCACTGTGTCAGACCTCTAATGATCCACTTTTTATGTGTTTGAAGTGAAAATGAATCATTACAAATTACAAGACTGGTGAGAAAAACTTCAAAGTCGCTTGTTAATCTACCTCATGTGTGATGCCTGATTTTTGTTGCAAGTCCGTAATGCCATAACAACACTGCAGAGCTTTTTTTAAACGGCTGAAACATCAAACACTTACAAAGACATAGTCGGCATTTTGGCAGACTGGCATTAAAAGATCATTACTCAATTATTTATGAAGGTGTTCGTCTCCAGCAAGTCGAAAAGAACATTTGGGTTCTGTGTGATCATCTCCAGTCTTTTGAAAAATGTGAAGGGCCGTGGCAGATGACAAGCAGCAGCTATTCAGACTCACGCAACCATGGCAGTTATTTTATTTTCCTGCCAAACAAGAGAAACATGTTTCTCTCCTTTGACATTTGCATCGCACAAGAGGGATGGAGAGGCCGAGAGCATGGGAAGAAACACGACCGAGCATGAGACACAATTACACCTGTTCAGCCGAACATGAAACAGTTCTTTATTTGTGGGCTCCCAGAGCTGGTCCGAGCTGGCCGTACATCATCCTCAGACGAGCCTCATCCTTCTGTTGGATTCTTCTTGAATATTAAGCCACTGTCGAGGATTTGGGACGAGGATTATCGCAGAATGCTTAAAACGGACTTTGAGTTCATTTGGACCCATGTTGGGCTTGTTTTTTTGTGGCGTGTGACTGTGATCTGACAGCGAAGTCTTCGACTTGTCAGATTGCGCTGATTTGTCACCCAGAGTGCTCACTCTCAGCACAGACACGTCCGCTAACTAGGCCGAGGCACGTCGTGGTGGAGAACAAGAACATTTGGGGAGGAAGTGAAGAAAAAGTGCAAGTGTGGTATTGTTTGAAGTGTCATGGATGACTCCACTCTGGTTCTAAAAAGACACTGTTCACCAAAAAGCAAGGGATTTATTTAATTTTTTTCCTCTTGGAATAAAAATCCATATTTCTCTGTAAATCCATCAGTTAAGGTCAAGACATTTGAATGTTACTTGTATAGTGTTCAAACCTGGATAAATCCTCAATTTATCCAAAGCAAACAGACATTATATTTTTGTCACCTTTTAATTGCATCATATCTGCTTTACCTGCGGCTTTGTCCATCTTTGCTATAAGTTCTCTGACAATGGCAGTGAAGACAACAACTCGTGATCCTACACTTCATGACATCATCAAAATGGGTCTTTTGTTGTTGTTTTGACTGAGACAGTTGATTGTTAATAGAGAGCTGATTGTTGTTTTTTTAAATTTACTTTATTTAAATTACTTATTTTGACTCATAAATGTCTGTTTCGGCCTTAAAAATAAAACTATAATTTATCTGTAATTGCTGAATTGACTCCCTTCATGTCCCACATTCACAGAAACAATACTGAGGACGTAATAATCTCATTGTCCTTGTGGCAGCCTCTGCTTGATTTTAATCCGTTGTCAGGCGACATGTTGACGAGGCAAGATTTTTGTAAAAAAGGTGAACAGTGCGCTTGTCGACCCCCAGATGGGAAGGTGCAGGACCAAAGCAGCTTACAGAGGATAAAGAGAAGTAGTCCGCACACTGAAAATTGTGAAATCGCTTAAGTTTAATGAGTCGAGGTCTTGCTCCAGCAAACATCCACGTGAAAGGAAAACAGCCTAAATATATACATGAAATTACCCCCTCCAATTACAATTAGAATAATTTGCTTCACGTAACCTCCTAATTGTGGGCGGAGGAGTTATTTTAGACCACACAACAATTTGTTTTTTTCATGGATGACGAAAATCCTTGATGGTCCAGATGTTTCCTCATTAAACATTTGTGAACTTGTTATATTCAATGTTCAGGCTGTGGTCTATCTTTATACTTAGGAGTTTTGTATTTGTCTAAAACATGCTGTCAAATTTAGTACTGTGCACTAAATCTGTCTCTGAGTAAAGACGTCCAACAAAGCATTATTTGCTGTCACATATGTTCTTTGTGAGCGCACATGGAAACATGATATTAGAGCACATGCGTAGTGGCTGTCTGTTTCCAGGCTTCACTGAGTTGCACAAGGAATGGAGGAGCACAGGGAAAAGGCATTTACAGTTTGACCCATGTGTACCCACCTCGCCTGTTGTGTGGTCGCATCTGTGAACGAGCTTATGTGAGTGTCTGAGAGGGAGAGAGAGAGAGAGAGAGATTACGCTGGAAGCAAAGAGAAGGAATGAGTGCATGAAAGAGGGAGAGGAAGAGAGAAAGAGGGAAATTGGGTCAGTGATCTACATACCAAAGTATTATGTTAACGTCAAATTACTCACCCCATTGCTGAATTTTTTTGTATTTCTGTTTATCCTCTCGGAAAGTAATTTATGTTTCCAATTGTACTATTTTATTTCTTTTTACAACATTTTTCAATTTGGTTTATATGAAACTAATCTCCTTTTCGAATCAGTATCTATCTATCTATCTGTCTATCTTTCTATCTGGTGTCCTCCCATCACTCGTAAATTTCATTACCATGAACTCCCCAGATAAATGGATTAGAGGAGATTCAGCTTTATCTTCATTGTATTTTAGCAACAATCCACAGTTTAGCATCAAATCAAATTGTACAAACACTGACCGAAATCATGTGGAATTAAGAACATAAAGGTACAGAATGAACTAAAAAACAGATAAGTTGTTGTAAGGCATACACTTCATCCAGTTGAGACATAAAAGTTATTTGATTTCAGTCAATGAGTCTGCAAAAATCTTTTATCATCATTTTATCTGCAGACACTTTTCTCAAATCTGTGGAACAAGAAACAAGCCATCCTAAAAATCATTACAATTACAGAAATGGTTAATCAACTTTTAAAACAGTCATTTTCCATTGATTAACAAATCATTTCAAAAATCAAAGTAAAAAATGAGTATGAAATAGTTTCTGTGCTAATTCTGAGTAGATCCAAAAATCAAAGCTCACCTTGATCTGTCATTATAGTAAATGATGGCTGATTATAATAGACGACATGATAGCGGCACTAAAACATCGCAATTGTCCCCCTAGTGGCTGGCTGCAGTATCTACCCCACCCCTCCATGTTAGCAGTTGGGACATTAGAGAAACTAAAAAGTCAAACTGTCAAATACACCTCAGGGATTATTTCTGTCAGTTTAGGTAGTGTGCATTTTAAGTCTTAATAATCACAATAAGTCTGTTTTAAATTAGTTATTTGATGCTATAAAAACAGTGATATTGATTGTGGATTGGTCAGACGGGTGTGTCTGGAATCTCAATACTGCAGATACTTATTGATTTTTATCAGCAAATCTTTAACTCCGCTGTTCTCAATATCTCCCCCTCCCTCCTTACTATCTATGGAACTTCATTGCTGCAATATAGAGTTAAGGGAGGGGGGAGTGGATGGACGGATGAGCGCTCATTGGCTGCTGTAATCAGGGGGGAAGGTGGGTGAGGATTGGGGAATAGGAGGAGGGGGTTAGTTGTGTTGCTCATAACAGAAGCCATAAGAGGCTTTGTAGCAAAGTCATGTTTCGTGTCAGATCTGTAAGAGAACACGTCTGGTAATGTGCAGCCAGGATATAAAAGATGGAGGAAGGTGGATATTTCCCTCTCTTCCTCTGATGTTGCTCTCCTGCGACCTATCCCTCCCTGTTTGCTCTTTTTTTTACCCATCATCTGGCACTCATTTACATAATCCCTCTGTTCATCATCCAACTGTCCCGGGCCTTCCATCTTCATGTTTCCCTCTCCCATTTTTCTAGTTTATTCTCCCCCAATGTTCTCTCCTCCCTTTTTTTTTCTCCTTCTCCACCTCTTCACACCTGTTTGAAAGCAAAGTCAGCTCTCGGAGACAAGTGAGAACACAAAAAGCCTTTTATCTCTGTATTTTTTCCCCACTTTCACATCTTACCTTCTAGTATTTTACTCCCACGCTGCACACACACACATGCATCCATGCACACGTATACCAGATCAGATTTAAGACATGTTCTTGACAAGATTATATAAATACAGTCAGGGTTTCACTCCTTGAAAACAAACACACACACTCATCCTCTAACTCTGAGAGCACTGACTTTAAATACAGATGAGAGGGTTCTTCTCAGGTGTGACCAGTTCAGCCATTTATCCACATACACAATGAAACCTTTATTTGACACTGCTTTAAGCACTAAGACACCCACACACAGAGAGACCAACCCAGAGGCAGCTTACTCTCAATATTCTCATTCTCTTGCTAAGGACAAGCACTCAAGGCTCTGGCAGGTGGCCGCGGAAACTGAAGTGTGTATCACCTTGACCTCCGTGCTCGACTGTTCTGCTGCTGACATTCACAATTGGCGCATTTCACAGATTTTCCACTGTAAAGAACATCGGTTCAGGATAACAGCCTGCAGGTTCAAATGGCCTTTAATGTGTGTGTGTGTGTGTGTGTGTGTGTGTGTGTGTGTGTGTCTGTGTGATATTTTTGGTAACACATTTTGGTCACACTCAGTCTGCCGTCACTTTACTGGAGGGGGCACAGAAAGTGGTTGATAATGGTCTGATCATCATGAAGCACTGATGTATCACTTTACTTGGGGGTGTCTGGAGTTTTGTGCTGTTCAGCGGCTGATTCAGAGTTTATCAGCTTCTCTGTGTTCTCTAACTCGTCACGTCACAGTCCTCAGTTTGGACAAACTTCTTTATCACCATTAATTGTCAAGTTGTTCCTGATTTGTTCAACTTACCAGAGTTTTGTGTAGCATACTGTAAAGTCTTATTATATTTTTTTAAGAATTGCACCACTTGATTTCAGGACATCCTTTCTGTTATATGTAATTTAAGTTTTACAAAACCTGAAACATTAGAAACAACTCACATATTATAGGTCAGGCTAACATTTCCTTTGTTTCCACTTATAGAGCTAAGCTAAGCTAACTGGAGGAAGCTTTGCACATTTCATACAAGCTTCCTAACCCAACATGTTAACATGCTGTTGATATAAAAATAATATATATTGATTCTACTTGTTCAGTACCATCACATATGGACATGTGGGTGGTGTCAGACCTCATTTTTAGTTTAATTTCTTTGCAACACAACAATTAAGGGTATTTCCCAAAACACAGATGCAGCGTCAGTTTGGTCGTTCTATGGTTTGACTGCTCTCTGCAAACGGAAGCAACTTCCTCTGTAAACACTTAAATAACCGTGCTGGTCAAACCCAACAACAAACAACAGGCCGCTGTGTTTCCTCTGAACTTTTGAACCACACGGCAACTGAAACCGAGGCTTTACGGAAAAAAAACTCTGTCTCCTGTTTGATATTTTGTCTAAGACAGAGCCAACCCCAAAAACCAGCACAAATCAGAAACTCTGCATTTCAGGGAGTTAAGATGTTTTTTTAAACCTGTGACTCATGAGCTGTGCCCAGACGATCATAATGTTCCTCTGCTCTTCAGCCAGCTGAGAATCAAAAGATTTATTCTGTTTCCTAGAGCTCAAAATTTATTTTATGAAGAATTGTAACAAAAATGATATCAGTTATTATATAGTAGAAAGATCCAGAACAAACAAATAGAGAACCATGAGTTAAGATTGTTGTGTCAACTGCTGTTTCTAAAATCAACTGTGAAGCAATCAGTTTATTCAATTGATTATAAATTGTGTGTTAAGCGCATCCTTGTGTCTCCTCTTGTCCCCCTGCAGCCTGTCCTGTAGGCTACTTCAAGTCCGTCTCAGGCTCTGCTCCCTGCTCCACGTGTCCCTCCAACAGCAGAACAAGTCAGAAAGGATCGAGTGTGTGCGAATGTCGCAGCGGCTTTTACCGTGGAGCCAATGATGCCAACTCTTCTGACTGCACAAGTGAGCTTTGTGTGATTGTTTGTTTATGCCTGTGTGTTCTCTCTGAAGTGTTCGAGGGGCCTCCTTTGCCATTTACTCCGACTGTGAGAACCAAGATGAATGCATTCTTTTTTTTTTTTTTCATCACAACGTAATTGAAATTGACTTACACCAGCCGAGGAGCCTCTCATGTATTTTCGTTTCTGGGGCCACTCAGCTTTAACTGCTCCACAGCCAAAGTCTAAGTTCATCTATTACTTTCACTTTACTTCTTTCATTTCTATGTAATTGTAGCAGATGCTTCCATGTAAGTTTGTCAAATCTCTCCCATTCACTCCATCTCTTGCTTTTCTCCTCAGCTCCTCCTTCTGCTCCCAACTCTATGTCCTGGGAGTATGAGAGCGATGACGGCGGGGTGTCCATCAGGTGGCGCCCGCCAGCGGAAATGGGAGGCCGCAGCGAGGTGTGGTACGGGGTGGTTTGCCGCATCTGCCCCTCACCCACCTTCACCAACCCTGCGTCATGCTCCTGGTGTGGTGAGGGCGTCACTTTCAGCCCCTCCCAGACCAACCTGAAACAAACCAAGGTCACCCTCAACAACCTGCTGACGAGAGTCACTTATCTCATACAGGTGCGGTGGAAAACTGTGAGGCACAAAACACACTTTGATATAAATAAATATACTATTTGTCCATGATGGTTTGTTTTATAATAATAACTGTTTTAACCTGAACTGCCTGCTGTACTGGTTTACAAGTAAATGTTTAGACTGAATCAATGCTGCAGGTGAAAGTTGTTTTACCAGAAATTTCTGAAGAGGATGAAACCTTTTCCTCAGGCCACAGAGGAGGCGGTTCCTCTTTGCTGTGTTATTGCAAAGTTCCACATCAACAAATACTCACAGACTATGTTATTGCTTAGTTCTCATTCATTATTATGATATGTCTCAAACACTGAAGCGTGTCATGAGAGTAAGTAAGCGTTTTTATGTCACATCGGCGTGTTCTCCTTATCGACAGGTGCAAGCCATGAATGAGGTGTCCGCTTTGAGTCCCTTTTCAGCTCGATACGCCAGCATCAATTTCACCACGAGCCAGTCAGGTGAGGACGGGACGGAGATGATGAAAAAGTGGGGATGAAAGAGGAAGAGATGCTCTGATGATGATGTGTGTGTAGATAAACTGTGTGTGTTTGAGTTTCTCTCCCCCTCTACCATCTCTCCCTCTCTTTCTCTCTGTCTCTGTCTCCTCCATCTTTTCTGCCACTGCTCTCGGGACAGGAGGTTGCTCGAGGTTACAATATCCTGTCAGATCCCATTATGGTCACCGTGGTGGAGGAAAGGGACAAATGAGAAATGGGGAACACAAAAAGACAGACAGAAAGAGATAGATAAGGCGGGAGAGGAGAGGAAAGGAGAAGGTGGCCTTGTCATGGGCAAAATGTTCCATTATACAATTTTCCAAGAAATTGCTCAAGATTGATTAGAGCTTCCAGTGAACCTAAAAGATCTCAGCTCTTTCTTGCATGTGCTCTTAGAGTTTATTGATTAAATGAATGGAATTCTGGAAAGTTGTAACAGGTCCAGCCAGTATAGTCTCTGTAACCAGATCCAGCTTGGTGCTCCATAAAAACTCCCACTGCACTTTCCTGCTCTCCAACTATTCTCTACAGACTCAGTGACACTGCCCCCATGTGGTCATGGTCCCTCCAAAGAAACTAATGTTCAAAGGTTGTAGGATGACTTAAAGGGAATTTAATCTTCAGTCCAACTCATACATCATCATCTGTTGTCCCCCACAGTTCCCAGTACAGTTCCCATGATGCACCAGCTAAGCCGAGCCCCAGACTCCATCACTCTATCGTGGCCTCAGCCGGACCGACCCAACGGAGACATCCTGGAGTACCAACTCAGATACTATGACAAGGTGCGCTCACTCAAACAACACATGTATAAAGTAGACGCAGGCACACAAAACACAGCACTGGAATCCTCAAGTGTTTTTCCTCCTTGTCCCTCAGGGCTCGGATGTGGACAGTGCAATGACTGTGTACAGTGAGACCAACACTGTGACCATCAGCCCTCTGATTCCCGGGTCCATCTACGGCTTCCAGATCAGAGCTCGGAATGAACGAGGTTACGGCCCCTACAGCAACACAGTCTACTTCACCACGCTGCCTCTGGGTACGAGAGAACACCAGTGACGTCTGTTTCTGTAAAACTGTAATTCAAACAACTCAGCAGAACACAGTTAGAGTTGGCGTCTGGGCTTCAGCTTCATCACCTTATTTGATAACTTTTAAGGGATAGTTCACCCAAAAATGTAAATTCACTCATTATCTACTCACCACTATGCCGATGGAGAGGTGGGTGAAGTGTTGAGTCCACAAAACACTTTTGGATTTTCAAGGATAAACAGCGTTGCAGCCAAATGAAATTCGACTCGAAACTTCGTCATTCACATGCTGTTTTTAGCCTAAATGTCCTCAGATATCTTCCTCTGGAAACGCGTCCGCACGCGGATCACAACTGACATTTAGACTAAAAACCTGGTGTGAATTACCTTGTTTTGAGTTGAATATGAATGCCAAGGCTTATGGACACTTGGATGACACCACAAGAGCAGTGTGGAGGCATTGTGTGTATTTTGTATTTTCTGACGAAGTGGTCACCATGTGCTTTAATTGTATTGGATTTTGCTGCAACGCTGTTTACACCTGAAACTGTTTTGTGGACTCACACTTCACCCACCCTTCCATCGGCATAGTGGAGAGAAGATTGTGGAGGTGGCTGGGGGAGCACCTACAGCTGGACCACAGGATCAATCAGTGCAGGTGAGAGCCGTTAGCTGATTGGTCCTCTCAAGGAGACAGGCACAGAGGACAGACACTCAGGACACTGATCACGGAGACAGAGCTGAAAAGCTAGTTGCCTTTATGTTAGAGTTTGTGAGTTTTGTTTGTATTAATAAAATAAAGTAAGGTGAAATGTTAGAGTGGCATGATCTACTGCCACAAAGACAATGGGTGAATTTTCATTTTGGGGTGTCTACAGGTGGATGCTGGGGTGGTGGAGGGGCTGAAGCTGAAGACAGTGATGCTGATCCAGGGCAGCAGAGGCGTAGACAAGCAAAGGGAGAGATGGGAAATCTTTGCAATTTAAATAAAATTTGGAGGATGTGCATGATAGAGGATTGTCAAGACTGAGCCACATCACATGATTAGGGCATTGCAGCTTGAGTTGGCTGCCTGAACTAGCTCATCGCTCCATTTAACGCACAAGCAAAGTGGTGGAATCAGATATTAAAATATAAATCATAAATATAAAGCACCTGATAGAAAAGATCGGAAAGTACAACGTTATTAACCACTTTGATTCCATAGTTGATCACCTTCTTGATCTCTAACCCCACTTCACTTTCTTCCCCCCCAGAGGAACATTCACAGCAGATCCAGAATCGACTTCCTCTGCTGGTCGGCTCAGTGATGGGTGGGGCGGCATTTCTTCTGGTTGTGGCAGCGATTGTGGTTACGGTGGTGTTTCGCAGGTGAGTGGTTAATCCACACATAATATTGGAGGTGTGATGTGGAGTTTTTAAATAGTAATGTGCATGTTCACACTTTCCTTTTCTCTACGTGACAGTAAGAGGAGGGAGAGCCCGTACAGCGACAGACTCCAGAGATACATCAGTAACCGAGGTGAGAGGCGATATATTTAATTGATGTATTTTAATTTTGTATCATTTTAATTTAGTCAAATGAATGATTTATTTTAAAGTGAGAAACGGCTGCTTATTATAATTTGTTTTACTTATTCAGTGCATGATTAAGCTCTTTAATGAACCAAGTTTTGGTTTAATTTGTTTAATCTACGTTCTTTGAATATTTGATAAATATAATTATTTTTAAAGAAAGATTTTGCCCTTAAGAAGGAAATCTCTGTTTCATCCAGGAGAAAGCAGCTCAATGTTTTTCTGAATGAATGAAAAAGATGAAATCAACTTTTGTTTTATAAAATAATATGAATTTATAGATGCACATTATTAGTCAAAATCTTTCACGGTACAGAAACAGATCATTCCGACCTGACCTTAGGATAAGTAAGTGTTGAGGAGTAAATTACGTTTTTAATTCCAGGTGGAGTGAAGTATTATGTGGACCCATCCACCTATGAGGACCCCAGTGAGGCTGTCAAAGAGTTTGCCCGTGAGATAGATCCCACTCACCTCAAGATCGAGGAGGTGATTGGTTCAGGTAGGCCTGACACTCAGCCTTTTGAATCTCATCGTAGATTTTTCTGTCGACTGTCGACACGTTGTGATCTCTTCCACCTCCTCTCTGCTCCAGCTCAGTTCGGTGAGGTCTCTCGAGGTCGTTACCGTCCTATGGGTCGCAGGGAGGTGCTCGTGGCGGTGAAGACTCTCCGCTGGGGGGCGTCTGACAGGGAGAGGGGGATGTTCCTCAGTGAAGCGGGGGTCATGGGCCAGTTTGACCACCCCAACGTGCTGAAGCTGGAGGGCGTCGTCACTCACAGCCCTCCAGAGAGGATCATAACTGAGTTTATGGAGAACGGGCCACTGGACGCATTCCTCAGGGTGAGAAAAAAGCACATAGTCAAAGTGTCCCATCAATGGTGCACACAACTGGTGACTGCACATTCTTCACTCCACTATAAATGAAAAATGTCTTTTTTTTGCTGCCTCATCCTACGTTTTAAATCTTTCAGGAGAACGAGGGCCAGTTCAGCATCCTGCAGCTTGTTGGGATGCTGAGGGGAGTGGGTGCAGGGATGCGTTACCTCTCTGAGAGAAACTTTGTCCACCGGGACCTGGCAGCGAGGAATGTGCTGGTCAACTCCAACTTGGTGTGCAAAGTGTCTGACTTTGGCCTGTCACGACTCATGAGAGGCCTGGACCACAACATACCCACGTATACTGCATCGCTGGTGCGTTCAGGGACAGGGACTTTTTCTTCAGTTTGGTGTTCATTGGCTCGCTGCTTCACTGCTTCTGTTTCATTCCTCCATCAGGGCAGTAAGATTCCCGTGAGGTGGACAGCACCAGAGGCGTTTCAGCATCGCAAGTTCAGCTCAGCCAGTGACGTCTGGAGCTTCGGCATTCTGATGTGGGAAGTGATGTCATACGGAGAGCGCCCTTACTGGGACATGAGCAATCAAGAAGTGAGTATGAGGGAGAATTTAGCCTGAGCAGGAGAGGCCGTAATGAATTAGTGATGTAAATGCACTCAAAGCCTTATAAGTACAACATGAACTGCTATACTTTAATAATATGTAATTAAAAAGTTAAAGTTAAAGTCCTTCCAATCTCTCCGACCAGTTTATATTGTCTAGTATGTGTTAGGGGCTTGTTTTACAGGTTTACTCTGCAAATCAGCTTTTAGTTAACAAAGTGGTTTGAAATATATATTTTTCTCTGGAAAGTGGAATTAAATTGTAATTTCCTAAAACACGGGGCAACTAAAGGAAAGTAGCTGTGCTTAAAAATTAAAGACAACTACTTAAGTTAATGTATTTGATCACTGGCCCCCCCCTTCTTTATTCCACAGACACATTTAAAATGCCAGGCAGCTGGAATTTGCATGATTTTCTCTTAGTCACTCTTGCAGGCCCTCAGTGGTCCGTGGCCTTTTATGTAAGCCTATTACACAAGACTCCTCGCACCATCTGCCCCACTTCTGTCTCACATCTCTCCCTGTCTCTCTGTCTCTGTTCACAGGTGATGAAGGCAGTAGCAGACCAGTATCGTCTCCCTGCCCCCCACAGCTGCCCGGCTGCGCTCCACTCTCTGATGCTCCAGTGCTGGCAGGCAGAGCGAGGCGACCGTCCAGGCTTCGACTCCCTCCTGTCCTCCTTGGATCGGCTCATCAGGCACCCTGCCACCCTCAAGACGGAGCCGAGCCGGTGATACAGCAAACACATCACAGACACATCAGAGGCAGCAGGTGATGCACAATCTGCTGTTTTCTCATGCTCTCATTTTTCACATTACAGAAGCTGTTCTCAGACTCTGCTCAGCCCGACCCCCACAGACTTATCAGCAGTGGCGACGGTCAGCGATTGGCTGAAGGCGCTGAGGATGGAGAGATATCAGGATGAGTTTGATCGGGCGCACCTGGACACTTTAGACAGAGTCAGCACACTCACCATGGAGTGAGTATGGATGGGTGTTACTGTAACTCTCAGATTAAAGAAGAACTGGAGCTTGTGTGTGTGTTCTACCTTCTAGCTGCAAATTGTGTGTATTGCTCAAAGACAGTCCACCAGTTTAAAGTCCTGTAAAATATCAGTGAGTGCTGCAGTGTTGATCTAAACTCTCCGGTTCATCTGCTCTCTCTTTTTCAGTGACGTCCAGAATCTCGGGGTAAACCTGCTGGGACACCAGAGGAAGATCGTCACAGCGGCCCAGCAGCTCAGAGCCCATCTCACACAGGGGCAGGTGGAGGTGTGAAATCCCATCTTACAGAACAACAGGATTTCTGTGGTTTTCACATTCCTCTGCTTGTCGTGTCTGGTTTCTGCAACACGTTTATTTTCACGGACGCACATTAAACAGATAGAGAGAATAGGCAGAGAGTGCCACTGTGTATTCGGATAAACCTGACACTACAATCAGAAGGGGTGAAAAAAAAAAAGGATTGGGCTTTTCCTGCCAGTCACTCAAGACAAATAAAAGAAGAGGGATGCACCGTGGTCCAGGCCAAAGTGAGGTCAGGGAGTCGTTAAGGAGAACGAGGACTTTAAAGCTTCCTCAATGTTTTACACTAGATTTCACTTTGCTGTTGTCTGCCTTCTCTCCTCACCCATCTGCAGTCCTACCTCTCACCTTCTCTTCCACTGATGTCCCTCCCTCAAATGTCCCCATACCTCCACCCTCATCGAGGTCAGTAAAAGTATTGGAAAAAAAAAATCATGGAGATGTCTCCTCACAAAGAATTGCGTAAAAGACAATCAAAGCCTTTTTCTATTTTTTTGAGTTGTTTGTAAAGTTTTAAAGTTCCTTTCCACCTAAATGCTAAAAGCAGAAAACAGTGTACTACCTAGCAGCCTATGGTTTGCCTTATGAGGTCTCACCATTAACTTTCAGTGAAAATGTAAAGTTTGCTCAGTGTCGGAGCAAAAGCTGTAAACCACCAGTCCAAAGTCTGCACCGCAAACCCTGAGGTTAGATGTGAACAGCTGCCATGAAATCAGGGAAACAAAAACTATACTAAAAGGTTTACCCTGTTGAAAAGACATATCCATGGTTTGAGAGCTGCCGTGTTTGTATGAGTCACTCTCACTGTCAGGCCTCTCGTGCAGTGGGAGCTGTCGAACGCTACGAGCGTCACCTCGGCTGCAAACACTGCGTCCATCTGAGATGAGGACAGAACTGAACAGCACTCACCTGTACGTGTACGTTTCACACTTCACCTCTTTTTGTTTGATAGAGTAAAGACACTGAGTCACTGAAGCATTGTGAATGTGTGAAATGGCAAAGACGGAAAAAATCTGATCTGATTTACACTTGGAGGGAGGAGGCAAAATGCTTCGTAAGTATGTACCTGTGTGTCTGTAACTTGTGTGTACCGTAGGAAACGTATGCGTGTGTGTGTGTGTGTGTGCGTGTGTGAGACAAGTGTGTCAGGCTACACACATCGTTAGCTGTGAGTGTTCACCACTATTCCATAATTGTGGAAATTTGTAAAATAAATGATATGATTTTATTTAAAACAAATCTTTGTCTTGTTTTACTGAGTCCGACTCATCCCACGACATGGGACCAAAACCCCTCTGACTAAAAGCTGACGCACAAACACCAACACACAACGTGAAAATATATATGAGATGAATAGATACATGGTTATAGGAAAGTAGAGCAAATGTGAGTCTATAGCAGTTCTATGATCGTATGTTCATGGCTCATGTGTTCAAACCATAAAATCTAGCAGAGTTATAATAATCTCTGTTCTCTGTATTAAGAGGTATCATACATGAACTTATACACACATTTCAATGCAGCTACACAATAAATGACATTATGTTCACCTTGATGACCCAATATCACCTTCACAGTGTTTAAGAGTGAACTCCTGGTTTCTCCTTTTCCACAGATCAGCAGCTTTGAGTCAAATCAGAGTCTGACATCTGCTGGGATCAGCATCTGTCCAACAGCAGAGACGGGTTTCCCTCATGTCCCGCTGATATCAGAGCAGATCTGTGCTGAGAACATGCAGCCACCCTCACGTTTATTCTGCTCTCACTGTGCTGTGTTTCCCTGCAGACATCATCCGTTTTAGATAACAAGAACAGTGCAAATTAACTGGGTACATTTATTCAAGTATAAAATGTATGTACAGTTTTGCAGATTTTGATTTCACATGTAATAAATACATATCATGAGATAATTAAATATGAAGTATGGAAATAAATCAGCTACCCAGCTGCATCAGAAGCTAAGAAAAGCTCTACCACCAATAATGAAATGCTGCTTACAATTCAAATCAATTTAATTCAAAAAATCCACTGACGGCAATTCCTTTGGAACAGCTTGCACAAGAACATAAAGCATACGCAGACGCGGGAGCTAAATGAGGGATAAGAGCATAATTAAGTAAATATAGAATTAAACGTTTAAAAATATAAATATGAATATTCTAACAGCATAATGTTTGAGATAAAACAACAACAAGCATACCAAGACATTTGAAATACAAAAAACTGACAGTTCAATTTACTTGCTTTAAAAGCCTCAATTTTTAGGAAGAGTGGGGGTGAGCAGGAATTACAGTAGCCATACATTCTTGTGTGAGATTGTGCCAACAAATATAGAAAGCATCATGAGTACTGACTTCTCAGAGATGGCCAACATAAAAAAACTTAATAGTAACATATCTGGGCTAAAGATGTCCATGAAGACATGTTGAGGTACTGAGTTGTCTACACCTGTGACTAACAGTGAACACACGCGTTTGCTGTTTTCCAGAAGGTCAAAATGTCCAAAACCCATTGAAAGTAACATCTGTAACTCAAATTCAAAAGTTCTACACGTCTCAGGAAGACTGAACAATTAAGAGGAGACAATGAGTTCACTTTGTTCTTCTTCCACTTGTATTGCATTTTGTGATTTAAAAAAAAGCATCAATAACATAATCAGCTTCACGTAGCTTGTACATTATTTCCATGTATAGAGTCTGCAGCAAATGTGTTGAACAAGCATCTTCATGAGACAATGTCTAGATGCTTTCTCTGGTCTGCAAACATAGTAACACTGCAGGCGCCGTAAAAAGCGTCATCAGCTTTTGTGTTGGAGTAAGTTGGTTAGAGAGATCCTATTAACTTGTAGGTGGAAGTGGATATTCACTCCCGGCAATACTAGGGAACCTGCAGGGGGCGTTACTATGTTTACTTGACCCGATAGAAAGACTGCAGGATTCAGATTTCTGTGATGAATACGGCATCAAAGGTCATGGTGAGTTTATCTGATCACTCAGCACCGAACACAATATACATACATTAGACTTTGAAGCACTGTGAAGTTCAACCAATATCAAAACTGTAAACTCAATCCCAAGAAAATCATTATAACATGTATTCAAATTAAAATCGGAGTAATTTTCCTTGCTTTAAAATTTGCCACCCAAAATGTAAGTCCTATCTGATCTGTGTATTCCCTGAAACAATAGCAGTCAAAGCAAACTGTCTGATGCACACGACCGAACCAGGTGACTCACAGCAGCCTACAGTACAGTACAGGATTGTGTAGCTACATTTTGTCTGAAGCAAGGAAATAATCAACTTAAAATGAAAAAAATGAATAAATAAAGCACCACATATGTTATCAAATAGCACCAGTTGTCAGAATGTATGTATTTTTGGCAATGTACAGCACTGAATTGGTGTAACTTTAAGCAGCTGCTGCAACCTTCAACCTCCACTCTCAAGTGCAAAGGCAAGAGAACTCTCATCGCATTAACTTGCACATGCTTCTGTTTCTAACCGAAAACAAACCAAAAGCAAACATTTGAATCCCCTCGTGTCAGTTCAAAGCAGCATCATGAAGCACGGTGTCAGTTACATACATACTGCAAACTTCTCTATCTGCACAGTTTGTAAATCAGATGAATATATATATCTATGTCTCTGTGATACACATCGCGAGGGAGCACCATAGTTGGGGGGGAAAAAAAGATTCTCACCATCCTTTCATGCCACAACATGTTGAAAAGGATGAATGTGTGATGGCGATTTACCAAAACAAATCAGTCTCCTGATGAACAAATGTTCAGTGTGATCAGGTGATGGCCCACGTTTATTTAAAAAAGGTTACATTTGCTATTCACACCAAATGGAGGTTGCTATAAAAACTAGTTTGCTGTATCCTTCTCTGAGAGTCTGTGAGAAATCGACAGTGAGATATACAGTACAGTGACATCCATTTTGGTGCACCATTCTCTTTTTGTTTTATACACAGCTGAAAACCTTAGACAGACGTTANTAATGCAGTTATAAAAATAGGCCAGTATGAGTTAAAATCCAGATGTGTTATCAGCATAAAATGCTCGAGGTAACAAAAGTGCACATGTCAATTATACTGTTAATTATAAGATTACTATCACAGATACTCTATATATAGGCAATATTTGTGAGAATAAAACATTGACAAAATTCTCGACAATAGTGATTCCACAAGAGAGAGAAATTCATTTACTGAGCAATGGATCTGTTTTAAGATATGATCATATGTCAGATAAACAGAGCAGGAAACAGTGCAATGTTTTAAAATTAAGTATAAAGGTTAAAACTTCAGAAAATTGGAAAACGCACATGAAATATGAGAATTACAAAGAAGGAATTTTCCATTTGTTTTTGTTGTCAGGTCAGAGATGGTAGAGGATATAACCTGATAGATGATATAACCTCCTATTTAATGTCACTTGTGAGAATTTGAGTTAAAACATTAGGAGTATTTAAGCTTTAGAAATGGAGTAGTGAAAACTTGTTATTCCAAATGACAGCTCTCTGAGGTACCTTTTAAAATTACTGCAGCCCAATCGACTAAACCTTTTGTTTTAATGATGATCATTGAGCATCTGTCTAACTGTCGTCCATGTATGAGGGACGTCTGTAATAATTGTTTGCTGTTGTGTCCCAACGTATATTAAGGTTGTGTTGTGAAAGAACGCAGGCACAGAAACACTGGACACACAAACCACAGTATCTTGTTTTTATGCTGTTATTGTTCCTTTATAAAGACATTAACAGACTGGAAACCACTGGTTTTTATGACACTACTTAAAGGTGGTGTAGTCCGTCTGGTAAACAGCTATTATCTCCACAATACTAAATGACTGCCACATCTACAACCATTACCAGCTCCTCCTATAGAGTCTCCCTAAACCCTGTTTATCCTGTGGCTGACCGGCCCATTAGTCATGACCTATAAATGGTGCTTCAAAATACCTGGACGCTACAACCAGGATGAGCAGAAATCATTTAAAGGCGACTGATACAACAGTTTACAAATTATCTATATGCAGGGAAAATAAATCTGTGATTCTGTGTCAAACACGTACATGAAATATTATAATTTCCCGTAGCAATATGCACCGTTTTCTTTGTTTCTTGTCTCCGGAGGAAAGTGACGCGCCCTCCTCGGACATGATGTTACCGGCCTCAGAATGATCATTATGGTCTTTGTAATGTGGCAATTACCGTGTTTGCGATGGCTCCTGTTGACACATCAATGGTGCTCAACAAGTTAAATCATTGTGAATGAATCTAGTTTTTTGACCAGCGTGTGCACAAGATGCAACATTTTGGAAAATCAGGCATCGTCTTTAAATTTACTCTGACAAATAATCCCACATTCACCTGGAGACAGCACAAAAGATTTCATCATGGAGTGTCTTTACAAAGCAGTGTTCAGATCACAGGCTTGCAATTTCCAAACAGGTTTCCTGAAATGGTCGACCAGAAACAATGACGGCTATGTGTTGACTGTCATGATGTTGCAGAAATTTCATAGTGGCCATGCAGGTTTTGGTGGTAGCAGGTTGGAGGAATGCAGACAGGCCTGGTGATTAGAGAGATACACTGGAATTAGGGACTGGACCATTGCTGCTTTTCTTTTCAGGTGATTGAATCGAGGCAACAACTTCACATCAGCATGATAAAGTACTTCCTGGTGAGTCGAACCTCAGAGCGCAACTTTCCCTGTGGGATTCCTGATCCGCGGTGAAAGTCTACCTGCTCATTACCGCCTCACTCTCACTGTCTGACCTGTCTGCTGTTCACTCATCCTCCCTCTCCACCCATTCATTCTCAATCCCTCCACAGGTCTCCTCCCTCGTGGCTGGGTTATATATAAAAGTCAGGCCGCAGGGATTTCACTTCTCCTCAGGGACATTTCGTAGGTGTTGCTTCCAGATTTCTTTAGTGTTATGTCCGAGTGTCACCAGAGGTTGAGGAGCAACACTTTTACTGTTTGAGGGTAAGTATGAGAAACTTTTTCCTTCTTCATTCATTTGTTTTATTGTATTCTAACCATACAAATTAATAAAATACAAACCAAAATGTTTTTTCAAAGCAAAAAAGATAAAGTTAGCCCTACCTGCTAATATTTAGAATTAATTGTTTAATTGTCCTAAATTTTCTTCCTGAAGTCAAACATCAGGGGTCAATGTCTCCGTCTCTGGCCCGATCGGCTCCGAGCGAGCTCAACCATTGGTGGAGCCAGGTGAGATTTCGCCTTCAGAACAAGAAAGGATGGAATGAGATGTTGGATGAGACGTTTCTGCTCTACACCAAATAGTAAGGAAACTTACTTCAGACACAGAATCAGAAAATGAATGACATACAATTGTAAAAACCTGTTGAAACACAACTTAAGTTGTTGGCTTCTCTTCTTGTCCTTCTTCCCTCAGCATCAACGACATCCCTCTCTTCTATGCGTCTAAAAAGAACAGTGTAGGTTGCATCAAGAAGCTACTGAGCTTTGCCTCCACCAACATCTTTGAGAGAGGTAAGACTGAACGGGGAAGTGTCACATCGTCGTGTTGGTGTTTCAGTGCAGCAGAGTCAGTTGTGCTTGATGAAGCTGTGATCGTCTTTCAGGCGCTCTCGGGGAGACGGCGCTTCATGTTGCCGTGATGAATGACAACCTGGAGGCTGCCGTGGCTCTGATGGATGGAGCTCCTGAACTCATCAACGAGCCCATGACCTCTGAGCTTTTCCAAGGTTGATATTTTATATAAACACACAAACACATGATCATGGAGCTGGAAGGTTGTTTCTTTAATTCTTCAAATATGAAATAAAGAAGGATAGAAGTGTCAACAGACAAAAGAAACTTGCACCGAGGGCAGTTTAACCCACAGTGTTCTTGTACTATAGCTNCACACACACACACACACACACACACACACACACACACACACACACACACACACACACACACACACACATTTCACACCTTTGTTCACGTCTGTTTTTTCCAGGAATGCAGTGTGATGGAAAGGTAATTCAGCTGCTGTCTGAGCGCTTTGCGTCCGGAGAGCTTCACATGCCGTTCCACAGTTTTGTGTCATGTTTCACCAGACTGCGCAAGCTCTTTGGTAACACACACACACACACACACTAATCTATTTATATATCACATACAATTGTAATTACTGAGTTTTGTGAGGACACTGGATGCAGTCATTTCCTTCCTCTTCCCCACAGGTATGTATGATTCACAGACCAGTGAGGAGGTGAAAAACAAAGGGATCAATGCTGTGAGTATCTGGTGACATACAATCTATCATGTTCACAGGGACTTTGACCTGATCAAGTTTTTGACTTCATGCTGTGTTCGCTCCCTGTCCATCTGCTGTCCCTCTATAGTGGCTTCTGCAGTTTCTGATGCTGTGAAGATGCTTCATGAAGACGTTTTCCAAACAAGTCACTGAAGGCTGTTGATTCCAAAACAGAAACAAAGTACACAAGACTGCAAAACAGACAATGGCTATGACTTTGCTGTGCCTTTGTTTTAATCTAGCTTCATCTTTCACCATTCTCATGCATCTGGCTATAGTCTTGATTTAAAATGTAGAGGCTCAGGGGCCCATGGGCCAGAGTCTTTGGTTGAAGCGTAGACTGTATATAAAGATGGATGACATAATGGCTACCCCAAACATACACAGAGCAGTTCAACTCTGTTATTATTTGTTTTGTGTTTTTTTTAATTTGTGGCTCTTTTTCCTTATTTATTCAAAATGGTTTAACATGTATCTTTTTGTTATTATCATTTAAATGTATGTATTGACGAACACTATGTGTCTCTGCTCGGTCTCAGGCGTCACTCCGCTCCACATCGCCGTGGTGAATCAGAACACCAATCTGGTCCATCATCTCATTAGTCGAGGTGGTGATGTGGTCAACCCCAGAGTCACCGGCTTGTACTTCAGGAAGAGGATAGGAGGACTCATATACTACGGTACGTTGGCGTGAGTGAGACTAAACTGTTTGTGGTGGAGTTGCTCAGTCATAGCTGGATCCCTGGGTGTCCACATGTAGTGGTTAACTTCAGCAAGACAATGAAGCCACAGACTCCCGATGAAATCTAATGTTTGCTTGTGTGCTGTTATTTTTTTTTTAACAGGTGAACACATCCTGTCTTTTGCTGTGTGCACTGGAAACGAGGACATTATCTCCATGGTGATCGATGCAGGGGCGAGCACCAGGGTCCAGGATTACAGAGGTATAAAATGTTCCTTCTTGTAGACACTGTATTATTTCATATCTGTGTGTCTGTCTGCTGTTTTAATTATTCATGTCTTTCTGTTATCTCCTCATGTACCTCCCGCCTGCTCTCCCTCCTTGTGCCTCCTTGTCTTTCTCCCCATAGGCAACACAGTGCTTCACATTTTGGTTCTGCAGCCCAACAAGATGATTGCGTGCCAGGCCATTGACCTGATTATGGCGCACGACGCAGAGCTGGACCAGTCAGTGCCACTCGACATGGTGCCCAACTCCCGAGGCCTTACACCTTTTAAACTGGCTGCCAGAGAGGGAAACGTTGTGGTGAGTGGAAACCTGGAAAACTCTGACATGGAGAGATGGAGCAGATTATCATCCCGTCCTCGCTGCTCACCGCACCGCTCTGTCTCTCTCAGGCATTCCAGCACCTGGTGAATAAGAGGCGTGTGGTCCAGTGGAGTCTGGGCCCTTTGACCTCGAACCTGTACGACCTGACAGAGATCGACTCGTGGGCCGACAACATGTCTGTGCTGGAGCTTATTGTTGGAAGCCATGAGCGAGAGGCAAGTCACAATCTACCCAGATGTAGCATTTAGTAGAAATCACAGGTTATGTTGTATGAAATTAATTTAGTCTGATGGGTGATTTCTGTTTTCCAGGCGAGGAGGATACTGGAGGTGACCCCCGTGAGGCAGCTGGTCAGTCTGAAGTGGAACCTGTATGGAAAACATTACTTCAGGTAAAGTCAAGAACTGTACGACACACATACAGTCTGGTTTTGTTGTTGTTGTTGTTTACACCATTTTCTCCTCCTCTCTTGTGTCAGGCTGCTGCTGTTTCTGTATCTGCTGTACATTGTGATTTTCACACTGTGCTGTGTGAGTCGCCCCCTGAAGGACGTTCCGGAGAACTACACAAAGTCAGACATGGACAAAACCATCCGCGTCCAGAAAACACTTAATGTGTGTTGGAGTAAATGTGACCATTGAAAACTTTAATATGTTACAATACATACAGAGGAACATGAATAATATAACTACATTCCACACTGTAAATACTGGCTGTACCTACACAGTGAGTCTTTACTTCTGTTAAATACTTCTTTTATTTCACACCTGTACATACTATTTTATATCAGATTTTACATGTTTATATAAAATATATACAATTCAAAACAATTCTTACATGTTTAGAGAGGTTGTTCTTCTGATACATGTATACATGTTTACAATTTACTGTATACATGTATCATTTAAGATAATGTTTTGATTATAGGACTTTTAAGTGTAATAGATTATTTTTATTTTTACGAGGTGGGATTGAAACATTTACTTTCTTTACAGTTCTTCATATTTGGGTTTTACTTCTACATGAATACATGAAAAAGAAAAACACTGTACCTGTAAAAATGTATCTGTAGCCTGGTGTTTGTATTGTGCATATACATAACACAGAATCAAATACCAATGTGCTTTTAATATTAATGCAAACTGAATTTCCTCTTCCCATGTCTCAGGAGAGTTATGTGACATATGAAGACAACCTGCGGCTGACAGGAGAAATCATCAGCGTCCTGGGAGCTTTTGCCATCCTGCTGCTGGAGGTTAATTAACAATACATTTGCAAGACACACTTTATCTTCATGCATATTGTATTTTACAGTGTATTACACACATCCTACTGTATCCTCCCAACAGATCCCTGATATACTGAGAGTGGGAGCAAAGCGTTACTTTGGCCAAACAGCACTTGGAGGCCCCTTCCATGTCATCCTGTACGTTCAAACACGTTATGAGCAGTTAGATAAAGCATCTACTGATCTGAAATACTTAACCTCTCTGCTGTCTGTGTTGCTTTTACCAGTATCAGCTACGCCTGCTTGGTGGTGCTGCTCTGCGTGTTCAGAGCCTGTGAAGTGCAGGGGGAGGCAGTGGTGATGGCCGTGTGTTTGGTCCTGGGCTGGTGCAACGTCATGTTCTTCGCCCGGGGTTTTGAAATGCTCGGCCCTTATGTCATCATGATACAGAAGGTAGGAGGCCGCCTGGAGCCAGACACGATAGGAGCTCATGAAGAAACAGCAGATTGTTCAGCCATTTGAATTTTCAGTGTGAACTTCCTGTGTCTCATTTCCTTCTAGATCATATTTGGAGACCTGACAAAGTTTATGTGGCTGACTGTCATTGTGCTCATTGGTTTTTCCACCTGTGAGTATACTCGATACTAGAAAAAAACAAACCTTTGATTCTCACTAAATTTCCAAGATATGAATAGTTGATATTCAGCATTCAGATTTGTATCTTTATCCTTCTCAGCCCTGTGGATGGTGTATATGACCCAGGAGCCTGATTCCATCCCTGCATATCGCTCCTTCCCCATCACTCTCTTCTCCCAGTTTGAGCTCAGCGTAGGCCTCATAGATCTGCCTGTGGAGCACACCATCACCACACCCCCCATTGTCCATGTGATACACTGTGCCTTCTCTGTTGTCTCCTACATCCTGCTGCTGAATCTACTGATAGCCATGATGAGCGACACACACTGGAGGGTGGCGCAGGAGAGAGACGAGCTCTGGAGGACACAGGTAACACACACGGACACACGTGTGCACTAAAACTGCACAGATCTGAAGGCAGGAGTGTGAATGCACAGAAACGCCTTGTGCATCGTTGTGTCATATTTAAGAGTCATACTGATGTGCAGGTAGTGGCTACGACCCTGATGCTGGAGAGGAGGCTGCCACGCTGGCTGTGGCCTCGGCTCGGGGTGTGTGGGCTTGACTATGGCCTGAAGGAGCGTTGGTATCTCAGGTGAGTCAAAAAGAAATCCAGACACAAAACAGCAGAAACACAAATAACAAAGGTGACATTATGTGAAGTGCAATAGAATGAGAGTTTTTATTTTTAGGTTTTCTATTTTTTCACAACAAACAATAATAACAGGAGATGCAAATGTGTCTACTGACCACAACCTAAGCCTTAAATGCACTGCAGCCACACGTCCCGGTATCCAAAAGGCCGCCATCTTGTGCAATCGAGCCAGAGTGTGCGTTGCACCTATCGGTAGTGAGGTCTCCTCGATGCAGCTGTCAATTGTAGCGTTTTGCTATGTTTTTTTTGCATTGAGTAACTAATTAAAATCAAACTTACTGTAAAAATGCTTGCTAAAATGGCAGAAACTTTTTGTAAAAAATATTTATATAATGTTTACTTTGATTTGGTTGGCTCATGCCCCATCAACTAACATGGAGGAGGTGGTACTTATGAGCCATACTGCACCAGGTAGCGATCGAGGCAGTTGGGCATGTCTTTATATATCTATATTATATACGTCTATGGAGAAGGTCAACACCACTGTACGTATATAAAGTCAACAAGAAGCTACAACTGGGGGCAATACATAACTACTAATGAGCTTCAGGATCGCTGGTAGGGATTGTGTTACTATACGATGAGGGGCTGTTTCCAGTCTTCTAGGGTGGTATCTTCTCATCGAACTCTTTGCAAAATGGCAAGCTTGTACTTCTCAAATACAAATGATAATGACAAAGGGAGAAAGTGAGAGTTGTGCTGACTCACAGCACAACACTACCTCAAGCTGCAGATATGAAGTAGACTTAAAGTGGAGGCATTTGAGGCCCTATAGTTTGTGGTCAGAGGAAAAATGTGTGTTTCTCCGTTAGAGAATAAGCATGTTTACCAAAACTTGAACTTAAGCATGCCATATCGTAGATGAACAAAATGTGCAAATAAAGAAAACTTAAAGAGGAAAGCAGAGGGTTTTCATCTCTAAAAAGATCAGATATTTGTTAAATAATAGTTTTCAGTGTAAGGGGTTTATCTTCATACGTCTGTTACTCCTGCTTTAATCTGACCGTGTTGCAGGGTTGAGGACAGAAACGACTCCATGTTGCAGAAGATGAGACGTTACATCAGAGCCTTCTCCAAAGAAGAGGAAAAGGAGGGATTGGAGAAAATGGACATGATGAAGGGCTCAAGCTCAGGGACCCCGACCCTCAGACCTAAAAACAGAGGTGGGTTTGGCAACAGGAAGACACTGACGGGCTGGCAGATGATTCGCCACAGTGCTTTGGGTTTGGAGATGGAGCAGGACGAGCTGGAGGAGGACCAGGATATTAAACATGTTTAGAGGGAAACTCTGTGTGAGCGTGGACTGTGTCATCCAAGGCCTTCTATTATCTCACAGCTCTATGGTGCTGATGAAATTCACTGAACTAACTTACAAGAAGAACAATCCCAGTTTCTCTATGTAGACAACAGTGCAATTATTCCTGCAGTATTATGCTATAGAAAAGAGTTGTGTTATTTTTATAGCAATATAAAACATATGTAGCAGTAATACTGTATATAATGAGCTAAAACTAAATGAAATGTAGAAATTGTACTTGTTAGGTTGATGCATGACTATTTTATATGAAAATAAAACCTTGCTGAAACAAAGTCACTGGCATCTCTTTGTGAAAAGGTCGTACAGCAGTATATGGAATCGTGCAGTGAAGATTGCAATACCTAGATCAGAGCTTATAAATGCTGCCTTCAAGTTCTAATGATGCTACCAGAAAATATAGCTATAAATCCACAGGTGTTAAATACAAAACAGCTATTGCCAAAGAAGCTTTGTTACTTTGTTCTGCTGGATTCTACTGATTGAAAAGTGGAAAGAGAAACGATTCGACGTGTTACTGAAGAGTCTATGCTTGAACATGGAAAAGGATCTGCAGTTCACAGATGAAGTAGGTAGTGGATGCGCAGGACCACTTCATCCAGTTCTTCTGGTGTGGCCTTGAAGTTTTCAAGAAGCCACAATCCCCGGGTTGCCTATCATCTATCCAATAACTGCAGTGAAAAGAATATTCACAATGACATCATATTATTGGTTGCAGGACATCATGGTTATTAATTTTTAGTAAAGTGGAGAGAGATATTTTTTTATATATTCACTCTGGCCACATTATTAGGTTCACCTACACACTCCAATACAACAGCCATGTCATAAAAACAACATTCAGTTTTGTTAATAGCATTGAAATAATTTGAAAAAACCTTGAGAAAGAAAAAAGAGAACGGAGCAAGATGGCTCAAGAGGAAAGAAAAGAGTCACCTCTCTTGCAGTGGAGTGTTGTTGATCCAGCTCCATTGATTTTCATTACGTCTCAGCCCGATCCAGTATCCCCGCTTCTCCCCCTTCTCAGTCAGAAAACTCTACAGAGGAGTTATACAGTTAAACAAATACATTATTACATTATTACTAAATCATCACTATGGAATGAAGTGAGCAGAACCATGAGTCTATTTCTTTTCCACCTGAAATTTCTGGCTGGAGATGACGGCCAAAGATCCTCCTCTGGCGCTGCAGTTACTCTGGCTCTGCCTCCAGTTCAGCCTGGTGGTGGACAGGTAAAAACAGGACCCTTCAAACTCCAGCCACCCATCTGCACACCGCTTGCAGCCAACCACTGCAAGAAGAGACAGAACAATTTCAGAAAATGTTGATACAACAAGAAAATCCAAAGTTCACTTACTGAATTACTTTTGAAATATCCTTAATCATCAAATTCCAACAGCTGACTTAAAGTTTTTTTCATTGTTCCTTGTGGTATTGGCTCTTATTTGCATGTTTTCCTCATATTCTATTTATATACATGTATTTTTTAACAAATTGATCAAACTCAGCTGAATTTGGTTTTAAAAGAAATTAAAAAGCCCCCAGTTCTCTAAAAACACATGAAAATGCTTCCTCTGTAACACAAAAAGAAGAACTATACACACATCTTTTTTTTTTTATTAATCTACATTTCTTTTCCCCCTGTCTTTGCACTCACGATCGGGCTCAACTTTCGGGAAGTCGGCAAGGCATTGCTCATACTTGCAGGTCGCAACAGATGATGTGCCCCTCCCTGGGCAATCAGTGGATCCAGTCTGGACTAGAAATCAGAGCACAGTGGGAGGAGTTGTGAGGAAAAACAATAAAGTCTTCCAGCTACAGCTATTCAGTCAGCCACAGTTCATATCCCTGTATTGTCTATGAGACAAAAACAAACATAATAAAAGCAACATGACCCCGTCAGATAAACTATTGTCCATGTTCTTTTAAATCTAGACTGTAAGCTATGGCTGCCGTCCTTTCAGAATCTCTTTCTGGCCAGCAGGGGTTTGTTTTTTAAAAACAACGACATGAATTCAGATCCCAGGCTGCAGATACTCACGTTTCACACTGAGAATGATGATGACCAGCAGCAGGATGAGGCAGATCAATGTGAGGAATAAACAGCCTGCGCGATACAGACGTGTATTTCCCTCGGTCTGTTTGCCTGAGTGAGAGGACATTAATGATGTTAGTAGACATATTTCAGTAACCACAACACATACCAGCAGCTGCGGCCTACCTCTCTCCCCCTCCAGTTCAACTGATAACTTGGGTGATAAGTTTTCCTTGGCTTCGTCTTTTTTATCCTCTCCATAATTGCGGCAGAATTTTATATACATAATGAAAAGAGTCCAGGGATTTGTGAGGAGGCTTGTTTACTCCGTCCTGCTTCCTGTCCTGTGCGAACTCACGTCTGCCTGCAGCAGTGAATTTTAAGCACACCCACCCCCCTCCAATGTCTTGTCACCATAGCAACATATCCGTCATTGATGCCTCTGAATTAAACATGTGGAACAGTGCTCAGACTGTCCTTCAACTCAAATGAACTTTTACTGAACTCCTCTTTGTTTGAGAATGAGCATCAGTGAGGGCTACAGAAGCTGATACTATCAGTCTGCAGACCTTGTTCTCCAAAACAAGATAGTTCCCTCTTGAGGTCATTTCAAATCAGAGCGTGTTTCAGCTGAGGGGCAGAACAAACGGTCTTCTTCGGTGCAGATTAGAGACATTAGTCAAGATACGTGGTTACAGTGCAGGAAGTCTAACAAGATCCTGCTCTAGACACTTTGGACAGTGATCATCTCTGTTTACTTCAACAACACGAATAGAAAAGTTTGAATATTTTTATCAAACACACCAGTGCATCATTTCCAGTTCATCATACACTGTGTGTCTTTGTCAATGTTTTCACATCAAAAACAATAACAACAGCAGTTCTTATAAGCAACAGGGACATGATTAACTTTAAAGTTACAGTGTGTAGAATTTTGTGATATCTAGTGTTGAAGTTTCATGTTGCAGCTGAACACCCCTCACCTCACCCTCTCCTTCCAAACATGAAGAAGAACCTGTGGTAGCTTCAGTTGTCATAAAAACTCAGAAGGTGTTTAGTTTGTCCAGTCAGGACTAATGTCAAAAACATGGCGGCCTCCTTCGAGAGGACCCCCCTCCATGTAAATATAAAGTATTTAAATATAAAGGCCTTTTCTGGGGTAAAGAAAACTACAATTCAAACAATTCAGATGAAACAAACTAGTGAAAACATCATGAGGATTATTCTACATTAAATTTCTGACAATAGATCCCTTTCACCTAAATCTTACACACTGGACCTTTAAGTTCTAGACAATAATTTATTTTACTGTAGTCATTTTGCATAGACATGACTATTAGGATTAATGTTGTTGTCCAAAACAGTAGCATGTCCTCATGTCATAGTCTTCTTTCTATCTTTGAATTGGTGTAAAATAAAATAAAGACATGAAATATAGTGAATGTTTCAGAAAGTTTTTTTTAAATAACTTGATCATGGTGTGAACC